TGGATTGTAGTTCGGAGAAAGGTAATGATAATGACATTGAAGGGCCATCAAAGGAAAAAGATGCGCAAGACATAGTAAGTGAAACTTCTCAAGTCAAACAAGTCGTAAATGAAGTCGTTCTTCTGATGTACAAGATGTAGTCGGTGATATATTAACAAAGCTTGGAGAAGTGACAACGGCAATCGGTAAGATAACTGATAGTCGATTAGATGTGACAAGATTGTACGAAGAAATTATGGCAACAGAAGGTTATGAAGAAGAGTTCTTAGGTGAAACTTTTGATAGTGATAAGTTAGCTAAGGCATTCATGGCAAAAAATCAGAATTTCCGCAAGGTTTGGCTGGAAAGATTCAAACGACAACACTAAAATACATAAATGGGGTTGGAAGAACAAAGCTAGAATAGGAAGCAATTGTTATAGAAAAATATTTTGTTGCTTGTCTAATATGGTCTGTGATACTTCTGTGATGGTTTTTCTCATGTCTACTTGCTTCTTGAGTACTCCTATATTGAGAATGGTTATTATGGAGTTGCTCATATTTTTTCTCTTTTATCTGTGTACGAGACGTTTATCTTTGTTAGCCTGAATCTTATATGTTGCAAGAGGTTATATTATAGAAATATTGTTTAGAATAATTTCTTCTCATGTTGTAGATAGAGTATTTTCTTTTCATGATATAGAAAAAGTATTTTCTTTCATTTAAGCAAAATGAATACTTTCTTTTTGTGTTGTAGAAAGAGTACTTTCATTTTGTTTCAACAAGAAAAAGTATTTTCTTTTCAGTTATGGAGCTCAAATTTCAACGTTCTTGTATGAAAAAGTAAATCAACATATCAGTTCCTTTGGGTTTATTTAAAATTTGTAGAAGAATAATTGAATTTTTGAAGAAAAATATAATTGTTGGAAGGGGGAGGAGAGCCTAGGAAACATGGGAATTGGGGGAGGGTGGGGGTGAGGAGAGTATGCTAAGAAAAGATTTTCTACTCTGTAACCAAATACTACAAAATATTTTTCGAAACAAGGTTTAAGGTCACCGACCAAACATGAGAAAATAAAGTGATAACACCATTGATTTTCCAGGAAAATATATTTTCAAGGATTCATACCAAACACACCCTAAAAGGAAAATGTATAAAGCTGCATTTTTTCCAACTTTAGCCTATTCTTTCTTAATAATACCCACGAAGTAAAAAGGGGAAGGAAGGAAGGGGAGCAAAACTGACCAATACGATGATGGGGTTTGAGACCAGCCATAGCCATACGTTTTGCAAATGTGTCTGAGTATGCTGACATGTCGATTGGTACATTTTCTTGGCGGTGAGTACTGCAACGGCTGCACAGAAAGCGAGAAGAAGAGGGAGTGAAAAGAGAGAAATGGAGGTGAGTCGTGGAAGATGAAGAAGGGTAATTTAGGAATTTTGTTAAGCGTGAAGCTTCAGAAATGGAAGTTAAGAGTAACTGTGAAGAGTTTTTAGTCTGTGGACAAACAAAGAAGCCTCGCGCCATTGACATAAGCTAAGCTTTGCGGTTGAGAGTTGAGA